GGGATTTGGGTGATGGGAGGTGGGATTTAATGGGAGATGGGATTTGGGTGGTGGGAAATGGGATTTGGGAGATGGGATTTGGGTGATGGGAGGTGGGATTTGGGTGATGGGAGATGAGATCCAGCTCCCAGGTCCCGTTTTTTCCAGCCATTAAACACCAACAAGAGGCCCCAAATTCCAACCCCCCCGCAGTTTATCCTCCAAAGGAGGCGGGAACTGCTCTGGGTGTTAATTAGGGTGTTAATTAGGCTCGTTCTGCCGCTAAAGAGGTTACAGTAAGTGCTCCCAATCCGGGGCTCCGGGGCCCGGCCCGTGACGTTTGGGGGTTAAAAATAGAAGGGAAAATCGGGAGACAGGAACAGCAGGAATAATTTATGTGTTTTGAATTAAAACCTCCCTGGGTTTGGGGGTCCTATTTAAGTACATGGTTTTATATAAAATAGATATAAAATGGCATTATGTTTATATATAATATGATATATAATGACATTATGTTTATATATAATATATAATGATATTATATTTATATGCAATATATAATGACTTTGTATATAATATGATATATAATGGTATTATATTTATATATAATATACAAAGACATTATATTTCTATGCCATTATATTTATAAAATGATATATAATGACATGATATTTATATATAATATACGATGGCATTATATTATATGCAATATATAATGGCATTATATTTCTATATAATACATTAATATTATATTTCCATTTAATATTATAAATGACACATATAATATATATTTTATGTTATATATAATGGCATTTTATTTATATATAATATGATATATAATGACATTATATTTATATGTAATGTATTATTACATTATATTTATTTACAATATGACATATAAGGGCATTAATATTATATTTGCATGTAATATCATATAGGACATCTATATATAATATATTACATATATGTTATATATGTGTGTATATATATTACATTTATGTTAAATATATAATTGTTTATATAATACATTACATATATGTTATATATATGTGAGTATATATAATATATTACATTTATGTTATTTTTATATTTGTTTATATAATATATTACATATATGTTGTATATATGTGTATATATATATTACATTTATGTTATATATATATATTTGTTTATATAATACATTACATATATGTTATATATATGTGTATATATATAATATATTACATTTATGTTTTATATATATATTTGTTTATATAATATATTACATATATGTTATATATATGTGTGTATATATATTACATTTATGTTTTATATATATATTTGTTTATATAATATATTACATATATGTTATATATATATATGTGTATATATATTACATTTATGTTATATATATATTTGTTTATATATTACATATATGTTATATTTATGTGTGTATATATAATGTATTACATTTATATATATATTTGTTTATATAATACATTACATATATGTTATATATATGTGTGTATATATAATATATTACATTTATGTTATACATATATATTTGTTTATATAATATATTACATATATGTTATATAGATATGTATATAATACATTACATATATGTTATATCTATGCATATATATATTTCATTTATGTATGCCCTATATTATATACATGCCCTATATTATACACATTTTATGTATGTTATAAACAATGTCCTTCTACGACATTACAACACGGATTAAACCACATTTTCCCCCCCGCGTGCCGCACCCAAATAACCCTCCCAGCGGGTGCCGCTTTCCCCTTCACACCCCACACCTCCCTCCCTCCTCAACCCGCGCGTGTCCCCCCCATCCCCGCGTGTCCCCCCCATCCCCGCGGGGTCCCGCGTACCTGGCGAAGGTGTCCCCGAAGGGCAGGGCGAGCCAGCGGCGGGGCATGGAGCGCAGGAAGGCGCTCTGCTGCTCCTCCGTCTCGTCGCGGGACACGTAGACCAGGCCGAGCTGCGAGGAGCGCTCCACGTAGAACTCGTCGGTGAGGCGCTGGAAGAAGTCCCTGAGCAGCGGGGAGAAGCGCTGGCAGCGCGGGCACTGCCCCGAGCCGAAGTAGAGCAGCAGCACCTTGTTGTCCAGAGCCCCGCGCAGCTCCCGCTCCGTGTCCAGCTCGTCCCGCTCGCGGTTCGCCCGCAGCACCTTCCCGGCGAACAGCGCAGACATGGCACGGGTGGGGAGGGGGGAAAGGGGAGGTGGGGGGGGATGGGGAGAGCCGGGAGAAGGGGATGGATGGGGAGCACCGGGAGAAGGGGATGGAGG